CGTGCCCGAGCCGCAGCGCCGAGGGCGGGCAGACGAACCGCAGTGCCCTCGCCGCAGCCCCACTCCCCGCCCCCAGGCCGAGCGCAGAGCGGGAGGAGAGCGAGGGGCGGGAGCCTGGAGTATGCACACACACTCGCGTGCGCACACTTACACACTCCCCAGGCACACACAGGTTCGTACCAGGACACCAGACAATTACGCCATAAAACACGGGAGAAATGCACAAACATGCTGGCACGCACACACACACACACACACACACACGGGAGTCGATTACACTCAGGCTTCCCAGTCACACACAGGCTCATTCAGTCACATCTTAGACATTTTTGCACACACGTACAAGCTTGTACATATTACGAGCCAATTACACACACCCACACCAGAAATTCTCATAGGCACCCAACCCCACCAACCCAGCATCACACCGAAATTAATCGCACAACCGGAGAAACACTCACACATTGGACACAGCATTCATTCACTCTACAGTGTTATATTGAGTGCCCGCTGGTGCCTAGCACGTTGTGGGTGCTGGAGATGGCTCTATGAACAAAATACACCAAGTCCTGCCCTCTGGGAGCTGACACTCTAAGGAGGGAGGAAGCAAACAGAGGCATAATGTTCCAGGTGGTGCTAAGTGCTAGGAAAGATGAAACGGAAGACAAGAGGGACATGCCAAGACCACATTCACTCAGGCAGACAAGAGAAATACACTCCTGCACGCCAACGAATGACTCACACACATGCACGATGCTCACTCCTACAACACCCACACAACAAAGAGACTGTCACACACTCACACCAAAGGCAAACTCACAAGGTGACTCCACACAGGTGCACTGGTAAACCCAGTCAGGACACCCACACAGAAATCCACCCTGGAAATAAGGAAAGTCTGAAGCTTAAAAATAGGAACGCTCCAGAGAAAGACACACAGAGAGGTAGATGAACACATACGAACACATACACACCCGTCAGTCACCCAGACAAATATTCCCCATTCTAGAGTCACCTCCCACAACCCCTAGTACAGCCTACCCTTAATGTGCCAGGAGCTTGCAGTCAAGGGTCCCAGGCTTCTTCTGACTTGGGCCAGGTGGAAGGCATGAAGGCCTGGGGGTCATTCTTCTGGGGGTTCCCTCAATGCTTCTTCAAGGCCAGGCTCCATATGCCTCCCCTAGACACCATCCTTCATTTCTCCATGATTATTATCAGGCCGAGGATCCTGAGAGTCTCCGGGGATCTGGCGATCCCAGCTGCTCTTTCTGGACGGATGGAATCACCAGCTGCCGACCCTCTCTGCTGGCGAGTCCAGACAGGCAGCATTTGGGACTAGGAAGGGAGCCTGAGTGCCTGGCCTTGCACCCTCAGCCCTCCCTATTCTGGGAACTGTCCCTTCAGCACCGGGTCCCACCAGTTCTGGGGTCCCAGACAGAGAGCCAGATTCACATTCTCGTTCTTGTGACTGCTGGAACCCAGGGGCTGATGACGCCAGGGATACTGACTTCATGGTAGCTGACACCTCGCTGTATTTACTATCTTTCAATGCTGGAATAAACTGCCCATTGGGCAGATGAGGAAACAAGAGAGGAGCAGTGAAACAGATGCCTAGTGCCTCATATCTTATTGCTGCTCAGCCAGGCCTGGAACTCGGTGGGCATTTAGCGGGTCCCTTTCCTGTGCTGGGAATATCGCGATGAATATTTATAAAGCTCCTTCAAGAAGCATATATTATAGTAGGGGAGAGAATACTGGCCATAAAGAACATAAGAACCCCCCCACACTCTCTCTTCTAGCCACCCCATCCCCCATCCTAGCCTCCTCCTTTGTCCCTGAGCACCCTGCACAGATTTCTGTCACAAATAATCCACTTGAGGTCTGGAGGACTCTAGGCTTCATTGCAAGTGTTTTCAATGAAAACTTCTATCTGTCCTGGGAAATACTATTCCCAGGATATCCCAAGCCAGGAAATTTCATATTGAAGCCCACCTAGACTTCTAGAGCTCCACAAATATTCACAACAACTAAACCCACAGAAATACCTAAGAATCCAAGAATCTGAGTTAGACAGAACTTTTGAGGTCAATCCTCCATGCCTGAACCTGCTCTCAACATTTTGAGGAGCTTGTCTCCACTGCTTTGCTTAAATACCCCTGGTGATAGAGATCCCACTGCTTTCCAAGAAAACCCTTTCTGCTGTAAGAAAGGGCTAGGCAGTTGTCAAGACTAGGAGGGAGTTAGCACAAGGAAGAAGGAGGGAAAGAGTTGCCTTTGTGCAGAAGCAAGGAAAGAAAAGTATAATTCCCATTTACGGAGAGTTTACTACACGCCAAGGACCATTGTGGGCACTGTACATAGAGTAACTCTTTTAAGCCTCACAGCAACCTTTGGCCTAGGTACCATTTTAGCCTCATTCTACAGATGAGAAAACTAAGGCTCAGAGAGATAAGTGACTTGCCTAGGGTCACAGCTGGTAAGTAATGCTGCTTAGGATTTAAACACAGCAGTGTGGCCCCAGAGTCTGCATCTTAATTGGTGCTCTTTACCCTTCTCAAGAAGTGTGGCTGAAGGAGTCCCTTTGTGAGAGGGGAGGTAAAGGAAAAGGCCTGGGATAGTCAGAAGAGTCTGGATTTTTGAGTTAGAATCCTGTCCACCCTGCAGCCTGGGGCAACTAATCATTCAGCCTTCATCCAGCATACATTTGGGTACCCCCTGTATGTCAGAGACTTTATGTTACTCCTCAGGACTCCTCTGGACTCCTCTGTTTCCCTAAAGACAAGGGAGGGGGTCTGGCTTCTATGGAGTGTCTACCAAATGTATGTAAGGGTCTTTGCACACACTATTCATCTTTACACACTGCAATCTGCTTCACCTGTCACTTTATATGCCACCGGCTCTCTCAGCAGCCCCACATGGCAAACAACACCATCTCCATATTCAGGCTCCAGTGCTGAGGGGTACATACCTTAAACTCACAGCCCCAGCTTTCTGCCAGGAGGTGCTGGGTTTCAGCATGGGCTTGTCTGAGTGTTTCCTACAACGTCTCCTCCTTCAAGGGCAATAACCCAAGTGTAGCAAAGAAAGGGAAGCCAGAAACAAAGCCGGGGGCTTAAGTTAGGAAATGAACCTGCCAGCCTGCAGGGAGGCCAAGGGAGCAGCATCTGGCTAAGGCCAGCAGAGGAAAGCCCAGGAAAGCTGAGCAAACTGCATTCGGGCCAGAGGATGGCTGTGACCTTTCCCACTCTGTCCTCTGATTGCTGTCAGTCCTCCAGAGAAGGAGTGCTCACAAGTGAATTAAACCATGACATCTGGTGAAGGACAAGCCAGGAGCTCATCCTGTCAGGCCAGGAAGCCTTCGGGTGTGGTGGCAGAGAAGAGAGAGGGCCGGGTAACATGGCAGCAGGGAGAGAACAGGAGAGGCCGCTCAGTTCTAATGCATGCTCTCCATCAGAGCCCTTGTTGGGCAAAATAACAAACAAAAAGATATTTAAAAAAAAAAGCATCAGTTATAAAAAGAATGCTTTCCAAAAGATGAGGGAAAGGGAATTGTAGTTTATATAAAGTCAGGTGTGAATCTGCAAGGTGGGTAATGGATTATTGCCGTCATTTTGTGTCTAAGAAACAAGGTTCCAAGAAGTTAAGCACGCTGCCTAAAGTTATGTGGCCAGCAAGTGGCAGAGAAACAGTTCAACTGCAGGCCCGTTTGATTCTGAAATGTATGCTTTTCCCTGGCAGCCTCCAAAGCAGTGCATAGGGGATGTGGTAGGCAGAATAATGGCCCCCTTCCCAAAGAAGCCCACCTCCTAAGCCCTAGGACCTGTGTATATGTCACCTTATGTGGCAAAAGGGAAAGAGAATTTGCAGATGTGGCAAATCTGGGATCTTGAGAAGGGGAGATTATCCTGGATTATCCAGTTTGGCCTAAAGTAATCACAAGCATCCTTATAGGTGAAAGAGGGATGCAGGAGGATCAGAGTCAGAGAAGATGTGACAGCAGAAGCAGGTGTGAGAGTCAGAGAGAGAGTCGAAGATGCTACACTGTTGACTTTCAAGATGGAGGAAGAGAGCATACGCCAAAGAACACAGGCAGCGTCTAGGAGCTGGAAAAGGCAAGGAAGCAAATTCTCCTCAGGGCCTCCCGAAGGAACACAGCCCTGCCGAGACCTTGATTCTAGCCCCATGAGACCCAATGCAGATTTCTAACCTCCAGAGCTGTAAGATAATAAACCTGTGTTGTTTTGAGCCCCTAGCTTAGTGGTAACTTGTTACAGCAACAACAGTAAAACTAAAACATGCATTTAAAGGGCCATAAAAGAAGTCACTTCATTATTTGTGCAAAGGGGATTTGACTTCTGAGGTCACTACTCCCCACCAAAAATCAAGACTCTTGGATTCATTGCCTTTTCATATGGTGTCAAAGTCTACAACTTTTTGTAATGAACCATCAGTAAGTTAGACATTCAAAAGGGAAAAAAAACCTTTAATTGTGAAAAAGCATACATTTTAATGTACAAAATTACACAAATTATACATTTAATGAACATAGAAAAATACATCTTGGTAACAAGAGAAAATGCCAGCCTAGTTTACACAAGATTGAGCAAGCATTACAAATCTTGAAAACCCAGAAGGGAGTTTTGAGCCTGATTCACAACTGATCAGGAATCCAGTGAGCATCTCCAGGGACTCTGC